AGCTGTCCAGGTTCTCTGGGTTCCTCCAAAAGTGTCCCTCCATTCAGGTCTCAATTCTGTCAGATTGTAGTCTGCACACTGCTTTGCAGGATGCTTTCCTATCCCCAATAGGAGAAGGAAATAAAATAATGGGAATGAGGGTAAAGTCAAAGTGTATTTGCTCAGCCCTTTCTGACTCTTTGAGACCCCCTGGACTGTAGCCCACTAGGCTCCTATATCCACGGGGGTTCTCCAGGCAAGAAGATTGGAGTGGGTTGCCATTCTCTTCTCCGGGGTATCTTCCTGACCCAGGTATTGACCCTGGGTCTCACAGGGATTGTACCGAGGTCTTCCACATTGCTGGCAGAATCTTTACCATTTGAGAAACCAGGGAAACCCAAATGACTGTAAACTAGTCTGAAATCTTTTAAAAAATGTATAGTAACATAGTTATTAAAATAAGATGCTAAATGACAAGGGAGAATACCACATAGAAAACAATTCATCCACTGTATCAGTATTGTGACACAACACAATTATAAAGTAAAGCACCTGGAACAAATCTGGTACTTTTCATTTGGTGTACAGGTATATATTGAGAACAGACTGCTGGTCATTTCTTGGTTAATCCTGCAAATACTGGTGTGAGGAAAAACACGGCAAAAGATATAGCACCTGTCCTTAGTTGTATTATATTTTCCCTTCAGGTAGGGGAATCAGAGATGAGAAATATAGCTCTGGGGGCTAGCTGAGAGCACAGACCGACAGACAGCAGAATTCATTTTCACTTCTGAAGACTCTCGCGGGCACTTGCTGGCTACACAGCAAGTGTAGCTTGGGCTCTGTGTGTGGAGAGGAAAAGTTGTTTGCATCAGTCCCATCTCCTGCAATGAAAAGGGAAGCTGTTTGTTATTAAGGGAAAGATGTTTCTGAATCACAGGTATGAGAAAGGTCTTATATTCAGAATACGTAAGGAATTTTAAAATTGCATAGGCCAAAATGTAATGAAGGAGGACAGATCCTTTTGCCAGGGATTCAGGTGTGGAAGGAGAAACCAGAAAGGGGCAGCACCTGGGCATTTTCAGGGTGATGGACGTGGCCTGTTCCTGGTCATGGTAGTGATCACTGGGATTTGCCATGTGTCAGATCTCAGAGAGCTTCACAGCCAAAGACAAGGAGGCCAGGAGTTCCCTGATGGTCCAGTGGTTTAGAATATGTGTGCCATATAAAATTAACACACAGAAATTCCTTGCATTCCTATATACTAGCAATGAAAAATCAGAGAAATTAAGGAATCAATTCCATTCACCATCGCAACTAAAACAATAAAATACTTAGGAATAAATGTAGCTAAGGAACAAAAGTCCTTTATACAGAAAACTATTGAAATAAAAATGAAGAAAGACATCAAAGATAGCACAAATAGAGAAATGTACCATGTTCTTGGAGTGAAGAATGAATATAGTGAAAATGACTCTACTACCCAAAGTAATCTATAGATTCATCACAATCCTGATCGAACCACCAATGATATTTTTCACAGAACTAGAACAAATTATTTCACAGTCTGTCTGGAAACACCAAAGACCCAGAATGCTCAAAGCAATCTTGAGAGAGAGGAATGGAACTGGAGGAATCAACCTTCCTGACTCAGACTATACTACAAAGCCACAGTCATCAAGATGGTATGGTACTGTCACAAAGACAGAAATATAGATCAGTGGAATAAAACAGAAATTTCAACGATAAATCCCTGCACCTGTGAACACCTTATCTTTGACAAAAGAGGCACCAATATACAATAGATGAAACACAGTCTCTTCAACACGTGATGCTGGGAAAACTGGTCAACTACATGTAACAGAATGAAACTGGAACACTTTCCAACACCATATGTTTGAACTGTGGTGTTGGAGAAGACTCTTGAGAGTCCTTGGACTGCAAGGAGATCAAACCAGTCCATTCTAAAGGGCTCAGTCCTGGGTGTTCATTGGAAGGACTGATGCTGAAGCTGAAACCCCAATACTTTGGCCACCTGATGTGAAGAGCTGGCTCACTGGAAAAGGCCCTGATGCTGGGAAAGATTGAGGGCAGGAGGAGAAGGGGACAACAGAGGATAAGATGCTTGGATGGCATCACCGACTCGATGGACATGGGTTTTGGTAGTCTCTGGGAGTTGGTGATGGACAGGGAGACCTGGCGTGCTGCGGTTCGTGGGGTTGCAAAGAGTCAGACACGACTCAACGGCTGAGCTGAACTAGACTGTGTAGGTTGCCAGGCTCCTCTGCCGATGGGATTCTCCATTCAAGAATATTGGAGTGGGTTGCCATTGCCTTCTCCAGCGGATCTTCCGAACGCAGGGATTGAACCTGGGTGCCCTGCATTGCAGGCTGATTCCTTACTATCAGAGCCACCTACAATAATAACATGACAGGGACAAGTGCCAAGCTAAGATCCTGCTGGCTCATTGATGCTGGACACCACCCAAGAAGCAGGTGGTATTACTGCCCTCATTTTTTGCCTTTGGGAACTGTAACCCACAGAAGAAGAGTCAGCTGTCCAGGTTCTCCGGGTTCCTCAAAATTAAACATTTTGAAAGTTTAAATGAAAATTGGAGTAGAATAAGCCAAATCCATTTGCAATGGAATGCTTATTTCACATGTTATCTTGTTTATTCTTCATAACAAATATTGAGTGTAAACTTGTAATTTCCATTTTAGAAATGGGGAAACCGATCCAAAGGATGTAAATACCCTTCTCACCTTCACACCCTATGTGTCACAGCCAGTATCCATGCTCTTACTTATGTCACGTGCTGTGCTTAGTCGCTCAGTCGTGTCCGACTCTTTACGACCCATGGACTGTAGCCCTTCAGGCACCTCTATCCATGGGGGTTCTTCAGGCAAGAATACTGGAGTGGGTTGCTATGCCCTCCTCCAGGGGATCTTCCCAACCCAGGGGTTGAACCCAGGTCTCCAGCCCTGCAGGTGGATTCTTTACCATCTTTACCATTCTTTACCTCCCATGTTCAGTCCTTTTGGGCCTGGATTTTCATACCTCTGTAAAGGCAAAACAGCTGCTATTTATAATCCCCTCTTATTCCCTAAGCAGAGTGCATTCTGAATAGGTCGTTTGTTGCATAAATATATTTTTTGGTGCATGAGGATACAGATGCGGGCTCAGAGATGTAAGCATTTTGCTATTATGTAATAATCAGGATATAAGGGAGAAATCAGACAGCTGGAAGACTTCCGTGTAGCTCAAACAGTAAAGAATCTGCCTGCGATGCAGGAGAGCAGGCTTGGATCCCTGGGTTGGGAAGATCCTCTAGAGAAGGGAATGGCAATCCACTCTCCATGGCTAATTCATTTCAATGTATGACAAAAACCACTGCAATGTTGTAAAGTAATTAGACTCCAACTAATAAAAATAAATGGAAAAAAAAAACTAAATGATAATGGCTTTTGAGAGACAACTCTGACAAATTTCAAAAGTTCATCCATGGTATCTGTGATGTTTAGTTATTTAGTTACTGTGGGGTATATAAAATGATATTTGTTTTTCTATCGTATTAGCCATTTCATCAATATTCTGAAAATATCTGAATTCCAGATTATACTGTTTTAATTCTGTAATATACTGTTATGTGTCTTGTTCATGTTTCTTGTTATGTGTATTTGGGCTTTGTCCATTTTCTTCACAATTATGTAAACTGAGAGGAATGGACTGGGAATTTGGCATTGGCAGATACAAACTATTACACTCAGAATGGATAAACAACAATGTCCTACTATACCGCACAGGGAACTATGTCCAATCTCCTGTGATAAATCACAATGGAAAAGAATATTTAAAATATATATATATATATGTGTGTGTTAAAAAATTATGTAAACTAGCACATTGTCTTTATTTATTAGTTGAATTTATTTTCCTCTTCCTAACAATTCATACCTGTCTTTTATTAAGTATCTTTTTCTTTTTCCTTTATGTTCACTCTGTTGCTCTTTTTCTTACCTTTTATATTGGATGTAGGATTTTATATTTATGTACTTTGTAATTTATGTATTGCTCTTTTCAAGTACCACACATATTTAGGGTGAAGATTTTTCTATGAGAACATTTTAATCATGTTCTGTAGTTACTTGGAGGTAGTCTGGAAGTGCTATTTTCGTCTAAATGTTCTAATGGAATGGACAAAAATGTAAAGTGAAAATATTTAGAAGGCTAATACACAGTAAATTCTTCCCTAACCATGAAGTTCTTCCTTTAAAATTGGAACCATGGAATTAATTGTCAGCAATTCGGAAAACACGTACGTGTAAGATACTAAGTTGATTACGTGGGAAGAACTAGAGTTACAGACTTTGACCTTCAAAACTTTTTAAACTGATACATCAAAGAGGAAAAATAACATATTTGATATGATTAGAGAGGATTATATCATGAGGCTCTGATTTTTATTAGTTCTTTAACAGTGACAGTGGATGTATGGCAAAACCATCATCAAAAACCATCATAGTATTGCAAAATAATTATCCTCCAATTAAAATAAGCAAGTGAAGTGAAGTCGCTCAGTCATGTCCGACTCTTTGCGACCCCATGGATTGTAGCCTGCCAGGCTCCTCCTTCCATGGGATTCTCTAGGCAAGAATACTGGAGTGGGTTGCCATTTCCTTCTCCAAAATAAGCAACCCCCCCAAAAAAAAAACAGACTAAACATGGGGGCAGGTAGTGTGCTTAGCATGTGTATCTTACTCACACCTGCCTTGAATAGCACTGACTCTCTCAGTGAAATGCACTCGCTCAACTTGATCAGCCACAGACACAGGAGACTAAACTATCTTTTGCCATTTCATTGTTCAGTCATTTCATGCTTCATTGTGGAAAGGATTTAAAATGCAACTACTTTTTAAGAGCTAGAGAATTCAGAATTTGAGAGAATTTAACAAACATCAAGCAGAATGTTGGCTCATTTTTTTTTTAAAGTTTATTTATGTGTTTTAATTGGAGGCTAATTACTTTACAATATTGTCATGGTTTTTGCCATACATCGACATGAATCAGCCACAGGTGTACATGTCTTCCCCATCAGAAAAGGAAATCTCAATTCCCCTGTTATAAGTTGACTCAAGATGCTATTTTATGATAAATAAATCATGGAAAACAGAGTATTCTTGTATGCATTCCATCGAAGAGAACCAGAGAATGCAAAAATTAGCATTGAAAAATGAGCATTTTAGTGTACCTGTTCTGAATTCACAACTTATATGAGTAAAGTTGAGTTTGGAAGTTAAGGGATTTCACAGAATCACACACATTATGTTAAAGCTGGTACTAGAACCTACTTGAATACCTGAGCATATTTCATATAAACTGATGTTTATTACAAATGCATTCCATATTTGTTACAAGCAGATATTATAAAAGAACCTGAAAATTATTAGCTGTTGGTTAAAGTACTTATACTCAAGAGAAGAAAACGGTTTCCTATTTTCAATTCGATATGGCTTTGATCCTGTCTGTTTCTTTATTTGCAAGTCTGTAAGTCAGGAACTCAGGCATCTGGGGTCTGAACTATCTTTCAAAGAATATGTGAACTCTGTTATTAAAATAATAGTAATGACCCCTCTATATTATTAAAGATATAATATTCTGAAAAACAGAAACCACATAAATTACTTTCTGAATGGATGACATACCTGCTTCTGGCATTTCAACAGGCTCTGTATTTGACGCAATCTCCTCCTTGACATCGGGACCATCTCCGCCTTGACCCCCAGTCGTTGCCACAGCCAATTCCTGAAGATCAGTTTCCAGGTCAGAATCTTTAAAAAAAAGTATGAATTCAGCTGTAAAGCATAGACTATAAACAAGGGAATGATAATATTGATCCCCTCGGTGTTATGAATTAAAAGGCTTAGGTTAGTTTGGTAAAAATGTGATGAATAAGAACCTCAGGAGCATTATTCCAGGAATGTTTTGCTGGAGAAAAACGAAAGCAGAACTTTCCAGATGTTATGACCATTTTCCTTTCCCAGGGCTGTCCTCAGACAACTCAGTTGCCCCCTTCTCTGTCTTGAAAACAAGGGAACATTTGAGCGACCACACTGACCTGCAAACTCTACTTTCCTCAGTTTTTTAGGAACTGTCTGAAGTCCTTTTCTAATGTTTCCTTTCCTCCTCTTACTGCTTATGTCTTAAGACATGATGCACACATACACTTTACCTCCAGGGGCATCCTTCTCCTTCTCTTCATTATGATTCATTGGATCGTCTCCATTGACTTCCTCCTTTCCAGGTGTGATATCCTGAATCTCAGCTGGTGGTTCCTCTTGTTGAGGTTGCTCAACACTGGGCTGCTGGTCCTAGGAGAGTGTGCATGCAAATAAATCTTTCTGTTGTTAACACATCTAACAGCATACATATACATAATACACAGATATATCTAATCATAAGTAAACCTAACAATGTTTTCCCAACACAATTCTATTTACTTACTTTTAATAAAGTTACTCTTCCCACAGAGAAGAGTTAGCTCCCATAAGAGTTACCCAGAAAGACTTCAGAAGCTATTTAATCTATGCTGGGATGGAAGTATGCAATCTGTTGTTAATAAGCAGGAGGAGGGAGTCACTGGGCACATTTCCAGCGATTTTCACAGTGTACTCATCCAGGCAACGCCAGACTGTAATATATCTGGATCAGTGTTCCTTCCTAAGACAAACTGTCACCCTTTATCAGCACGGAAGACCTTTATCACTGCATCTGCATTACTTAACATCATTTTCTCAAAAGTAAATTCCCTGGAAATGTGCCCAGTGACTCCCTAATAGAAATTATCAAATGGTAAGGTACTCACAACCACAGGTTCATCCAGCTGGGAAGAATCTTGACCTGTAGGTCCCAATGTTGATGCCACTTGCCCACTCATATTTCTCCCTGAGAGTAGAATATTGTGATTTAGAAAACGTATTTAAGAGCACAGCTATATTTGATCACTTTTATGACCATATGTTGATTTACTATGTTTGAAAACTGTGAAAATACTTTCAAAAGAAAACTCTGGTTAAGTATGAGTGTACATGCATTCCAATTACACCAAATACAGTTGCTTGCAAAGCCATTTGTATCTTCGCTAAGCTGGCAGAGAAATCACCTTAAGGTACACAAGAAGACAGAGAATTGTTGTGAGGAAGTTTGATTTCAGAAAAGAATTCTCCATCATGAAGATATTTAGTGAAATACTGCTAGGAATTTAAAAATTCAGGACTATTGCTCTTGTCACACTCCTATTCACCAGACCTATTTTCCCCAACTCCCTTGGAATTCAGTTGGAACCGAAGAAAGGGTCAGTCTTTACAGCCTGACTATGGCGATTTTCTCAGCATCTGTGACTGAGGTGAGTCTGCATACACAGCATACCGGTCCACTTCTCTCTTGGCACCTTACCACAAAACCCGCGATACGGTCACAACCCACCGCGTTCCGGTTTCTAGGCCTTTCGTTAATCGCCCACCCTGCCCCCTGCCACGTCCCACTCTCGGCCCCATATTCTGTGCTCTGTCGTCAGTTCCCGGGCCTCAATGAGCCAGATATCTCAAACAGCACCCTCAAGTCTACCCCCACTGTCATCTGACCCCCTGCCCTCCTCTCCCCACCGCCCTTCCTCTCCCGCCACGAGGACAAGAACTAGGGCGTCTTGACACCTGTGAGGAGAAAGATGATGACTTCGAGGGCCTTTCTCCTCAAAGGCCCCAGATGTCACTGCCCGACCTGCCCGAAACTCGCTGGCTCCCCCTCACACGCACGCACACTTAACCTCCAGACAGGACAGATCTGTGAACCTACCTGGTGAGTTTCAAGTAGCGAGAAAGAACCGAGACTGAATAAACACACCGGTCTCAGGCCCAACGGTTCTCACAGAAGGCGCTCCGGAAGGCGCATGCGCAGCAAGGCGCATGCGCAGCAAGAGGTGCGTGCGCACACTCTGGGCATGCTCCCTGAGTTGGGCGTGTGCAGTGCAGGTTGAGGTTTTCCCGCCACTCAGGTAGAGTCCTGGAACCGCAGGGTCTCTGGTTGATGAGAAAAGGGCATAAAGACTATTTTTTTTCTTTCCAGGGCAATCTTTCTTATGCATACACTAACTCTGGTAGTAGGTAGTCCCAGGTTACCCTTAGAGAATGTGTCTTGGGAAGACACTCATGACAGAAATAGACATTAAGGTTTTTAAGACCTATTTTTATACATGCTTTGATGAACCATTTCTTTGTCTGCTTCTGGGTTTTCCATCATGCTTGCAATGGCTTTACTCATTTCCATGGAATAAATACATAAATCCATACCTCTGTTTCCACTTTTTGCTTGGAGCACTGCATATTGAAATCTCTGAACTGGTAACTGATTTCTCTGAATATACCTCTGGTTCCTATACAATATTGTTCTTTTAGCATCGGGCTTTACTTTCACCACCAGACACATCCACAACTGGGTGTTGTTTCCACTTTGGCCTAGCCTTTTCATTCCTTCTGTAGCTATTTCTTCACTCTTCTCCAGTAGCACATTCTTCTTCTTATTCTATTATAGTGGGAATTTTCGTACTTACTAGGAGTTTTAATTTTACCCAAGAGAAAGGAAAACGTGCTCACACAAGGACCTTTACTCAAATATTCTACTCATGTACTCCTCATAGCCGAACCTAGAAACAGCCCAACTATTCAACACCTGGTATATAGATGAAAGAAAAACAAAAGTGTATAACTCGTACAAAACAATACCACACAGTCACTTCAAAAGGAACTACTAATGCATGTAACAGCAAGGATGCATCTCAGCTGTGCCAATGAGACATGTCAGACACAGTAAGCTATGTATTATATGATTTCATGTCAATGGATTCCTGGAAAAGGCACAAGTATAGGCACAGAAATATATCTGTGGTTGCCAGTGTATAGGAGTGGAGGAAGGAGTCTGATGGCAGATAGCCCAAGGGAGCATTTTCGAACCAGTGGAACAGTTTGTATATTTTTACTGTGGTAGCATTTACACGATGGTATGCATATGTCAAAACTCGACAAACGGTAATGCTTTAAAGCATTGACTTCTATCGTATATAAATTATATCTCAACACTTCTCACTTTTTTTTAAAGGAAAAGGAACTTTTACATATTTAAATATTGGTTATCATATCCATCTAGATCATGAGCTCATAAACATAAAAATCTTATTTGGAATTTTTCCCGGACCTGGCCAACTTACAGAATTCCCCATTCCACCTTTGTATTCTTGTGACAGGACACGGTAACTTGATTTTAACCATGTTTACAATTCCCTCTCCTTCAGCTCAAGTCTATATTCTTGCTGACTTCTGCCCATTTTACTTTGGAAATATCTAATACGTCTACGTTTTCCCATGTCCACCACATCTGCTGTGGTCTGAAGCCTCCCTCCATTTAATTGTCAACCCCCTTCTAATGGTCTCTCACATCCACTCAGGGTGTCTGTCTCCCACCCCCCGCCCTCTCCCTCCCTCTCTTACAGTTGTGAAACTGTTTATGACTTTCTAGATAAAGGCTACTGTCCTACACAGGAATTTGAAGATATGGTCTAGCCCTTGCCCAGCTTGCTAACAACATGAAAATTAGAGAATCCTCTTCTTGTCTCTCTTATTGGGCTTCATTCACACCCTCCAATTTCTCGAGCTTAGATTGTCCCATATTTCTGAAGCCTCCTGGTTAGTAAACTCCTTCAAGCTAGGCTTCAACAGTATATGGGATGAGAACTTCCAGATATACAAGTTGGGTTTGAAGAGGCAGAGAGACGAGATCAAATTGCAACATTCCTCAGATCATGGAGAAAGCAAGGGAATTCCAGAAACACATCTACTTCTGCTTCATTCACTAGACTACCTCAAGGCCTCTGACTTCGTGGATCACAACAAACTGTAAAATTCTTAGAGATGGGAGTACCAGATTAGCTGACCTGTGTCCTGAGAAACCTGTATGAGGGCTAAGAAGCTACAGTTAGAATAAGGCATGGAACAATGGACTGGTTCAAAACTGGGAAAGGAGTAAGACAAGGCTGTATATTGTCACTGCTTATTCAACGTACATGCAGAGCACATCATGGGAAATCCTGGGCTGGATGTCTCGCATGCTGGAATCAAGATTGCTGGTAGAAATATCAACAAGCTCAGATGTGCAGATCATACCACTCTAGTGGTAGAAACTGAAGAGGAACTAAAGAACCTCTTGATGCAGTTGAAAGAGGAGGTGAAAAGGCTGACTTAAAACTCAGCATTCAAAAACATAAGATTATGCCATCCAGTCTTATCATTTCATGGAAAACAGAAGTGGGGAAGTGGATGCAGTGACAGATTTAATTTTGGGGGCTCCAAAATCACTGTGGATGGTGATTGCTGCCATGAAATTAAGACACTTGATCCTTGGAAGAACAGCTATGACAAAGGTAGTATGCATGCATGCTCATTGCTTTAGTCGGGTCTGACTATGACCCCATGGACTGTAGCCTGTCAGGTGCCTCCATCCATGGGATTCTCCAGGTAAGAATACTTTAGTGGGTTGCCATTCCCTCTGCCCATGGGGCATGGTAGGGGATCTTCCCAACCCAAGGGTGAAACCCATGTCTCCTGCATCCCGTGCATTGCAGGGGGATTCTTTTTCTTTTGCCACGTGATTTATTTTTTCATTGAAGGATAATTGCTTTACAGAATTTTGTTGTTTCATATCAAACATCAACAAGAATCAGTCATAGGTACACCCATGCAGGATAATTCTTTACCACTTAGCCACCAGGGAAGCCTATGTCAAACCTAGACAGCATAGTATAAAGCAGAGACATCACTTTGTTGACAAACTATGGCTTTTTCAGTAGTTGTGTACAGATGTGTGAGTTTGATCATTAAGAAGGCTGAGTGACAAAGAATTGACGCTTTTGGTTTGTGGTGCTGGAGAAGACACTTGAGAATCCCTTGGACAGCCAGGATATCAAAACAGCCAATCCTAAGGGAAACCAACTGTGAATATTCACTGAAGGACCGACGCTGAAGCTGAAACTCCAATAATTTGGCCACCTGATGGGAAGAGCCAACTCACAGGAAAAGACCCTGCTGTTGGTCGTAAAGCAGGTTATGCCATGGTGACTGCTGAACAGGGTTTAGAAGCAAAATCTCTCCCCCAGGGAACCGGCACTCAGTTACCAGAACTTGTGGCTCTGACCCGAGCTCTAGAGTTAAGCAAAGGGCAGCGAGCAAATATCTACACTGATTCTAAGTATGCTTATTTGACTTTATATATTCATGCTGCACTATGGAAAGAAAGACAGTTTAAAATAGCAACAGGAGAACCTATTAAGCATTTCAGGGAGATTGAGAGACTTTTAACTGCTATAGATTGTTCTAAAGAAGTAGCTGTTATGTATTTCAAAGGGCACAACTGGGATAGGAGTAAGTAGCTGAAGGTAATCAGCTGGCTGACTGTCAAGCCAGAAGAGAGGCACTTTACGAAACTCCTTCACTGCAGATACCTTCGATCTGGACAGGTCCTGTGGAACAGGAAAAACCACAATATACTGAGAAAGAATTAGAAAGATATGAGAAAAGAGGAGCGAACATTACTGATAAAGGATGGTTAAATCCAAGGATGGACGATTAATAATTCCGGAAAATACTCAATGGAAAATTCTTAAGGGTTTACACCAGAGTTTTCATTTAGTTGTCGAGAGTACTTACCAGATGGCTTCTCATTTGTTTGAAGGTAAAAATGTAATGAAAACCCTAAAGGACATAATCAAAAGATGTGAGGTTTGTCAGAAAAATAACCCAAAGACTGAAAAGCTAGCAAAATCTGGATTACAATGAAGTGGAAAATATCCTGGAGAGGACTGGCAAATTGATTTTACTCATATGCCAAAAGCTAACAGATATTCTTGCTTACAAGCTTGGGTGGATACTTTTACTGGATGGATTGAGGCTTTCCCCTGTCATAGTGAACAGGCTAAGGAGGTTATAAGATTTTTAATCCATGAAATTATCCCCAGGTTTGGGCTGCCATGGAGCTTTCAGAGTGACAATGGCTCCGCCTTTAAAGCTGCTCTAACTCAGGGGGTGTCTAAAGCTCTAGGAATAGAGTATCAATTACACTGTTCCTGGAGACCCCAATCCTCAGGAAAGGTTGAAAAAGGTAACGACATTATCAAAAGACATCTGCGCGAAGTAACTCAAGGGACGCAGGACAATTGGATTAAAGTTCTACCCATAACTTTAATGAGCGCTCGGACTGCCCTCAAAAAGGAGGGCCTGTCCCCCTTTGAATGTATTTATGGAAAGCTTTTCTTTTCTTTCTTTCTTTTTTTTTTTTTTTACAATGCACATGTGGCTTTCTTCCCACTAAAATTGGTTTTAGCCTAGAAGACTTATCAGTAGCAGATATTGACCTGCTTATTTTAATCTGAATGTTTCCAGTACAATCCTGTGTTTACTTTACCACCCTTCTCTCCACATACCCACAGTTCCTTGCACAAGTTCCCACATTGCCAGGCTTTTTAAAAAATATATAATTTATTTATTTTAATTGGAGGCTAATTACTTTACAATATTGTAGTGGTTTTGTCATACATTGACATGGATCAGCGATGGGTGTACATGTGTTCCCCATCCTGAACCCCCCTCCCGCATCCCTCCCCATCCCATCCCTCTGGGTCATCCCAGTGCACCAGCCCTGAGCTCCCTGTCTCATGCATCAAACCTGGACTGGCAATCTGTTTCACATATGATAATATACATGTTTCAATGCTATTCTCTCAAATCATCCCACCCTCGCCTTCTCCCACAGAGTCCAAAAGACTGTTCAATACATCTGTGTCTCTTTTGCTGTTTCGCATGTAGGGTTATCATTACCATTTTTCTAAATTCCATATATATGCATCTGTATACTGTATTGGTGTTTTTCTTTCTGGCTTACTTCACTC